TTCTAAAATTCTATAAAAAAATTATCGAATATTATTGAAATATTCTCGAAAAAATTAAATTTCTTAAACAGTTTTAGTTTAAAATTAAAAAGAAATAAAACTTTAAAAAATTGTATTGCAATATTAAATACAATCGCATTTATTATAAATTCGACATCCCTAAAATAAATTTTAAAAATATTTTAATTCTATTTTTAAAGGTGATTAAATATTTGAATTAAAAAATTAAATTAAAGATTAAATAAATAATAATAAATAATAATAATAATAAATATTAAATTAAATTAAAAATATTTGAATTCTATTTTTAAAGGTGATTTAATTTAAGAATTTTATTTATAAAGAAGTAATTAAAAAATTTTTTAAATTTGAATTTTTTGCAATTATTCGACTAAAAATAATTCAATTTTTGACAGTTTTATAGAAATTTTTGAAAATAATTGAGGGAGATTAAAGTTTTAAATCAAATTTTTGCTTCTTAAAAAGGACAGTTTTTAATAATTAAACTCCAGTTAAATTTTGTTAATAGTAATTATGGTAAAAAGCAAAATTCTTCATCGAGATCGATGAGTAAAAAAATTAAAAATTTATGGCAACCCAGAAAATTTAAATATTTGAAAACCAATAAATTTAAATAAAATAAAAATAAAGAAATTAAAAAGTTCAGATTTTGTAGGAACATGAAAAATGAATTAAATTTTGAAATAATTACATAAATTATTATATTATTACAATATAAAGTTTTAAAACAATTCTAAGACTCCTTTAAAATGAAAATTCGCAAAATTAAAAAGAAGAAAATTAGAATAAATTTTTTCAACATTAACTCTGAATTTATTAATTTTGACAAAGCATGTTATAATCGTTTTGATGATTTATCCAATTGCTATTGATAGATTATCTGTTACAGATTGCTCTCATTTTCGAGAGCATCATGGTCAAATAGCTTTGAGTGGTGCTAGAGTCAAATTTCGACACCTCTGACACGGTTTACTTACTATAAATCAAGTACCTATCGAATTATCGTTATTTCACTGTCCCACATTAATTACTGCAAAATTTGGTAATATCGTCCGATTCAATCAAAATTTATTGTTTTAATTGCAAAAATTTAATTTTCCCAATATTGGAAATTTTAATTACTCTTACACTCCAATAGCGAATATAGAAAGGTTAATTAGTAAACAAAAATTAATTAGGCTCTTTCTATTTTTCATTTTATTTTTTATTTCTTTATTATTAGTAACATAATAATTTATTTTCTGTCAATTATAAAATATTATTTAAAAATTTTTAAATAAAAAGTATATTATTAAATAAAATAAAATTCAATTCACTCTCTTTATAGTGAACTTTTATTCACTAACAATACTTATAGGTATTTTTATATTTTGACTTATAAGTCAAAGATTTTTCCAAGTAAAAATCAATAAAAAAATAAAAAATCCAAGTAAATAAATAGAGAAAAATAAAAAAAAGTCTTTTTGTCGTTATTCAACTTATTCAGAAGTGAAAAACTTTTGGTAGAAAATAATAAAAAAAAATTTTAGCTATACACTTATTTTCTAGCGTGGAAGACTTTTGACGTGAAGTGGATTTTTACTTGTTCAGATTTAGAGAGTGTGAATTAAAATAAATTGAATGCCATTAATAATTGGGTTGTTTAGATATTTGGGCTAATTAATTAAGTCTGCTAATTTATTACTACAGTTGGTGGATGTGAAGTTTTGAACTTTTGAATTCTACTGACTCATGACAGAGACAGGTGAGATTTGGCGTCGGTTTGTCCACTCGTGACCTTGCTCTTGATAGACACTGATTAATTTAATTGAAACTTTAATTCTCGATTCTATTTTCACGTGCGAAAATTTTCGTTATTTTGCCCCGAGGACTTATATACTGTTGGAATTATTTTCAAAATTTAGGTACAAACATTTTTTTTTTTTTTTTTTCCTAAAACACAATTTTCATTTCCCTGAAGTTTTGAACTTTCAAACGAACGAATATTTTCTTTCTATTTAAATATTTTCGAAATATTCTGGAAAAAAATTAAAAATAAAATATCTTTATCATTTATTGAAAGGAATTTATTTTCTTAATATTGACAAAAAAATATTTTGTAACAAAATTAAAATTTTAACGAAATAGGAAAAAAGGTCGTTTATTTAAACGATCGAATCTTTGGGAACGTAATAAATAAAGTAAAAACAGAAGTAAAAATTAAAAATAAAAGTAAAAACAAAATTAAAAATAAAAGTAAAAAATAAAAGTAAAAACTAAATTGAGAAGTAAAAATAAAAGTAAAAACAAAATTAAAAAGTAAAAATAAAAGTAAATAGTTTTTACTACATAATTAGAAACGTAATCATTAGATGTCATACTTCGAAGTGATAAACAATTAATTATATGTTTAATTCACGTGATTAAAATTATGCGCTTTCGTCAATAATTAACCTTGATTTGACAGATGCAGTATTATTACTTCCTATTAAAATATTATTGTTCCTTCAGACTGTTATTGGATTCATTCGAGAGCTGGTGACTTTTCTGACGGTATTTAACACCCAAGTATAAAATTTTACATAAAATTATATCAAGATAAATTATTTCCAATAAAAATATCAATTATAATTGATATTTTTATTTATTTTACAATTCTTCTTTTATTATATAAATAAATTAATTAATTAGAATTTTAATAAAAAAAATACCGTTACCTTTTAACACAATTATTACTTCCATAGCTGAATATTTTATTATCGATTTTAAAAGTGTAATGAAAGAGCTTTTTTTTAACACGAATGTGCTTTAATGTATTTTTTCATTTTTAATAAATAAAAATTTTACTCGAAGCAAATGAAGGTTTTTTTTATATAAACGTAATCTTGTGAATATTTGATAAAATTTTGTAATATTTATAAATATGATGCATATGTCTGCTAGATTTTACTAGAATTTTATAATTATTTATTGTATGTAATATTTTTATTGATGTCCGTATTTTATGCTTCAATATTGAATAAAAATTTAAACATTCTTTTAAGTACCAAAAATGCATATTACATCATTTTTTTGAAATATTTATGCATTTTTATTTTTTTATGTGAGGTGACAAATTTTTATATTTATAAAAACCTTTTAAAATTTTTTTTTTTATTTTTGTTTTATTTATTTATTGAAGGTGCACAAGCTTTTTTGGAACAAATGGTACGAAAATATTTTTGTACATTTTTTAGTACTTTTTTTTCTGTAAAAACGTTTTAAATTAAAAATATCCAAAAAGTTTGTTATAAGTAACAAAATCAATTATAATAGTTTGTACAATTTCATTTTGTTTAAATTCTTTTACAGTTTTATTTTAAAAAATACGTTATTATGAAACATAGAAATAATTTTTTTTGTTAATTTAATGAATTTTTTTTTTATTCGTTTTGCTTCAGTTAAAATAAATTTTTCTTTCAAACAAAAGGAGGTTCTTTGTTTCGGAGAAAATTTCTTTGATTTAAACAAATTTTCATTGTATCCAAGAAATTTGTTCTTCAAATCTATTGATTTAATTTTGTCATTGATATAAGGTCAAAGAAATAATTCACCAATTTAAAAAGGAGAATTTTTTGAGACAAAGAAATTGTTTTTGGATCAAATTCTTTTAAAATTTACATTTTAAATCATTGCTTCAAATAAATTTTATTTTCTCGAAACAAAAAAAAATTCAATTTCAATCGAAAAAACAAGCAAAAGAAAATAATTTCCTGAAATAAAAAAAAAAATTTTGGGTCTACATTTTCATTCTGTTGGAACAGTTTTTTAATTATTTTTTTAAGTCATAAATAAATAAGTAATAAATAAATTCGTGTTTTGCCTTTCAAATTAAATTTTTTTTGGTTTAAATTTAAATTAAATTTTATTTGGTTCAAGTAAATTTTATTTGGTTCAGGTAAATTTTATTTGATTCTAATTAAACTTTATTTGGTTCAAATTAAATCTTACTTGGTTCAAATTAAATTTCATTTGGTTCAAGTAAATTTTATTTGATTAAAAAAAATTTTACTTAGCTTAAATTAAATTTTGCTTGGTTCAAATTAAACTATCTTTGGTTCAAGTAAATTTTACATGGTTCAAATTAAACTTTATTTTGTTTAATTTAAAGTTTTTTTGTTTCAAGTAAATTTTATTTGGTTCAAATTAAACTTTATTTGGGTTTTTGGTTAAAATTTTTACTTGGTTCAAATTAGATTTTATTCAGTTCAATTAAATTTTATTTGATTAAAAAAATTTTTACTTTGCTAAATGAAATTTTGCTTGGTTCAAATTTAATTATTTTTGCCTCTAATAAATTTTACTTGGTTCAAATTAAACTTTATTTGGTTTAAATGAAAGTTTTTTTGATTTAAGTAAATTATATTTGGTTCAAATTTTTACTTTGACTCTGAGACAAATAAACTTTATTTAACTCAAACAAAATTATATTTGATTCAAGTAAAATTTTACTCCTAGTGTTTCAAATAAACATGAATTTAAATTCATTCGAAAAAAAATTCAAGTAGAATTCATTCCGATAACAATAAATAAAATAAGAAAACACCTTTTTTATTCATCTTGAAAATTTCTTGAAAATATTTTCATTTTTCTTCTTCTTGACTTCTCATGTATTCTCCATTTCTTCAACTACATTGTAGTGAATAATTCCCAAGAGAAAGCATCCAGTCACGAAAAGGCACCTGCGTTACTCCTGTGTCAAATGTCAGTGGCGATAAAAGTTGAAAATGAAATTGAAAATGAAAATGAAAATGAAAAGTGAATGAGAAAAGGAGTACTGAACTTGGAAAATGCTTTTTTAAGAAAGTCGTTCACGGTTAATGCTAGAATTGAGGGACGTTGTCATCGGGGTGATCACAAGAGTGAGGCCAACTGACATGTCTGTGCCAGAAGCCCCCTACTCTGTGCCGATACAATTTTCACAGGGGAGGTCAGGGGAAGGTCGGGAAAATGTTATAAGCTAAAATAAAAGCAAGAAACAAGACAAGGGGTCTCGGGTGTGACAAGAAACTAGAACCACGAGGGTGTTTTTTTTTTAACTATCAGTCGGTGCAGGTGCTTCGATCGTAGCGGGTTTCCGAAACAGGTTCGTCAACACTTGTATTGTTTTTTGCAATACAAAAAAATAATTTAATTGTCAAGTCTCGTCTGTCTATTCTAAAGTGAAAAAAAAGTGTTCTTTAATAGCAGTGCAAGTGATCAATTTTTCCCCTTTTGTAAATTAAAAGTAGAAAGTGATGAACAAATTTTTTTTTCTTTTTTTTTAAACATTCAATTGCGTAAGAAAATTAGCTTCTTCTACTTAGTATAGTGGATGTTTTCTTGTTTTTCTTCAGTGACTGTTTTAATTTTCTGCTCCGAGTGTTGTAACTCGATTGGTGCCAATCAGGCCAGTTCTTTTTCTAAGCAATGTGAATCAGTGCTTCTAATTCATGTCCGACGCTTTTAGGATCATTGGAATGCTCAATCAATCAAAGGATTACGAATTCTAATTTTCAGTGTATTCGTTAGATAATTCTTCATAAAATTTGCCAAGGAAATTTAGTTGACGATTTATCTTTAACTTTTTCATGGATTTTCTTTTTAATTTGCATAAAAGTTGATTTAAAAAAAAAATTGATTCATTGCTTTCTCATAACAGAAGGATTTTATTTATAAATATGGTCCAAAAGTTCTGAACGTTCAAATGAACGAAAAAAAGAAAAATTAATTTTTTTATTGGAATAGTATCAAAATTTAATACCTCAACACTGAAACAAATTATTTGATTTAAATAGCAGATTACTCCTCTATTATCAAATAAAAATTTACTTGAATCAAAGAATTTTTATTCGAATAAAATTAAATTTGAATTAAATTTTATTTAAAACAATAATTTCAATATTTGAAGTAAATACGATTCAATTAATTCAAATAAAAATTAATTGTAAACTTTTTCAGGCTTCCCATTCATCTACTAAAATCTACAATATATAATTTACTACTTTTTTACGTTTTGCTACTGTTTGGGTACTTCTTTTAGATTTCAGCCACTAAAAGCGATTATTTATTTATTTATTTTTTTTGAGAATTTACACTACTTTAAATTCGCTAATACTAAAAATCCAAAAACTATTCTCAAAAATTATACTCATATTCTTTAAAACTATTCAATTATTTTCAAAATTATTTAAAATTCCATTATTTTCAAAAAATATTCAAAATTCAATTATTTAAAAAAAATATTCGAAATTCAATTATTTTAAAAAATATTCAAAATTCAATTATTCTTTAAAAATATTCGAAATTCAATAATTTTCAATATCTAGTATTTTCATCAAATTTCACATAAGAATTCAATTATTTAAAAAAAAATTGATAAAATTCAATTATTTTTCCCAAATAATAAAATTTCCACACGAATTCAATTAATTTAAAATAGCATTTTCAAAAAAAATCAATTCAATTATTTTCAAAAATAAAGTTTTCCATAAGAATTCAATTATTTAGATTAAAAATTTTACAATATTTATTATATTTAAAAAAAATTAATTCAAAACAATGTTTATAAAATTCTTATGAATAATTCAATTATTTGGAAAAATAACAAAATTCTTCCCAGGAATTCAATTATTTCTGAAAATTATATAATAAAATTTTTAGCAACTGTTTAATTATTTTCATAAATAATAAAATTTATTCCACGATTTCAATTATTTGTAATTCAATTTTACAGGAATTGCTCGAAAAATGTAATTATTCTTAAAAAAAAAGATGTTCTTAAAAAAATTCTTTGAAAGAATTCAATTATTTAAAAAAATATTAGTATTTTTCGCAGCAATTCAATTATTTTCAAATATTTCAATAAAATTGTTCGAAAGAAATCAATTATTTTAAATCACAATTTTATGAAATTTTTTTGAAATAATTCAATTATTCATTAAGATTTGAATAAAATTCTTCCCAGGAATTCAATTATTTACACAAATAATTCTTCGATAGAATTCAATTATTAAAGATAAATAACAAAATTATTTGCGAAAATTCAATTATTTTGGAGACATTTTTATTAAACAAATTCTTTGCAAAATTCAATTATTTTCATAAATAACAATATTCATCACAAGAATTCAATTATTTTTCAAAGTAATAAATTTCTTCTTGGATATTCAATTTTTTTCATTAATAATAAAATGCTTTTTAGGAATTCAATTATTTAAAAAACTTTTTGTAAAAATCTTCGTAAGAATTCAATTCTTTTTATGAATAATAAAAATTTCTCCAGGATTCCATTATTTAAATTAGAATTTGAATAATATTAGTCAAAGAAATCAATTATTTAAAAATGTTTATAAGATTCTTTGCAATAATTAATTTATTTTTGTGAATATTTAAATTCTTTCATAAATAATAATTGAATGATAATAATTTATTAGCGCAGTAGGATAGGAAAGAAGTAAATATTTTTGATGAAAATTAGAAAAAGTCTGATCAGGAAAATAAAATAAAATGGAATTTTTGTCAGTTTTGTGAAGTGTTTAAAACGAGTTTTTTTGGTCGTCAAATTTAATTTTTTGATAGCTACTTTTTTTTAATTTGAAAGCTGCTTTTTGCTACTTTTTTAAAATTAACTATCGAGTATGAAGTCTGCTTTTCTATAAAAAAAATTTTCGGTTAAAGTTTCATGATCTACCATTTTTAAAAAACAATACAAAAACAAAAACAATACTTCTAAAAATAAAGATTTTTATTATTTTTCTTGGCAAAAATATAAATTTTTTCTTAATCGTTGATCGAAACTTCATCTGCTTTTAGAATACTATAATAAATAATTTATCAATCGCGTAGAAAAACAATTTTCATTCAAATTAATAATTAATATTTAAATTATTAGATATACAATTTGAATTATTATTAAATATAATTTAAATAATTTAAAATAATTTAAATTATTAAATATAATTATTATATATAAATAAACATATTATATTTTGACGAATGTTTTTATCGAATTGACTTCTTATTTATAATTCTTTTTTTTTTAATAAAAAAGTACTAAAATCTATGCAAATTTGCCGGTCTTCTAAAGTTTAATAAGAATTAATAATTATTCTTAAGTAAGAAATAATTATTTAATAGTTATTAACTATTTAATAATTGAATAATTATTAAAATTATTTTTATTTTTAATTTTAATAGAAGATCATTTGTTTAGAATTAAGAAAGTGAAGCAATGGATGACGAACCACCGGCATGGGATATAGGAGGAGATGAAGAAGCTCCAGCTTGGGATGTTGGTGGAGGAGATGACACTGCAGCTGCTGGAGGTGGAGCAGTAGCTGATGCACCTGTAGTTCCCTCTGGACCCAGAGAAAAATGTGATCCCCCTCATTACACTCTTCACTGGGTTCGACCCCTTTTCCTAAATTACCGCTACCTCTATGACTACAGGTATCATTCAAAATATGCCATACAATTTTTTTTCTATCTTTTTTTTTTTAATTTAAATTCGTTTATTGAATTTGCATATAAAATAAAAAATTGCACTCGAAATTGCAGGTTAGGTGACGCCGGGGAAAAAAGGCTCGCGCAGGCGTGTATCGCGCCTGCGCGTGCCTTTTTTCCCCGGCGTCACCACTTTTTTTCCCTCTTACGTCGCCTAGCTTACTGACAGTTTTCGAGCGCTGTAAAATAAAAATTTAATTTAATAATTACTTATAAAAATATAATTATTCAAGTAAATAAATATAAAAAATAATTATTCAGGTAAATAAATATTAAAAATGATAAATTTACTTAATATTGCGTGATTGCAGACAAAATTACTACAACGACGTAATCGACTGGATGAATAAACGAAACAAGGGAATTTATCGTGAGGAGCCACGAGCTCAGGAATGGGCAGAGAGGGCAATAAGAATGTATCACTTGAATAATAAGAACCCAAGTGTCAAGCGATCTGCGGATATGCGTGAAATCACTCAGATGAGACACACCATCAGACACTACAGTTATCATACTCGAGCATACTACAGCCTCAAGTACATGAAGATTCTTTGAGAGACTCTTCAACAGTATCTTATCGCCGCAATATCGAAGAATGTGCAACAAAAACGGAAAAATTAATTCAATCACAATTCATATTATCAAATAATTGTTAAATTAACATTTATCGAATATTCTGATTTTAATTCAATTATATTTACTTTTAAATTATTTATTTATTTATTTCTGCTTAAATACTGCGAAATTATTTATGCAAAAATATGTAATTGTAAGGAAAATTGTAGTTTCGGTGTAAATAATTTTTAAGTTTTCTTATATAATTTGGAATTATTGAAATATTTATATCGAACAATGCGAACAGATTAATTGAGAGCAGAATAATTGAATTAAACTGAGTTAAACGTTGCACCTGCTTCGACTTAGAGAACGATTTTTTTTTCTTTCAATGGCAAATGCATCGACGTTAAATCATCGAGCGGCGATTTGCCAATATTATTATTCGAAATTTATTTCTTCTAGTCATCAAAAATTAATTATGATGATCGTCACTATATGATTGTGTAAACTAGATTCTGATCAAAAACAATTATCATTCTTATTATTTTATTATTAATATTATTATTATTTTTTAATATAATAGTAATATTAATATTTATTATTATATTAAATTTAATATCTATTATTATTATTATTATTATTATTATTATTATTATTATTATTATTATTATTATTATTTATTATTAATATTATTAATATTATTATTATTATAAATATTATTATTATTACTCTTCTGAAAAATGTTAAGACAATTTTATAAGAACAGTCTCTGAATTCGAGCATTTTTAATACAGCAAACATATTTTTTTTGGATTTTGATTTGCATTTACAAACAAGGAATTTCAAAAGTGGTTTCAATATTTTTAGTAATAAATTTTGAACTTTTTTTTTACAATAAAAGTGTCAGATTTAACTTTATTTCTTCTCATATATGAAACCTTTTGAATTCCTCTTCAAGATTTAGCAATAAGATCCAAAAATTCTTCATGAGAAATAGTGGGACTGTTCTTGCAAAATATCGGAAAAATTAAATATTGGCAAATCCGAATAATCAACTTTTATAAAAATTAATTTTGAAAAATTGTTATCAATAACAGTAATATAGAAAATAATATGAGAAAAAACAAAAAAAAAATATAAAAATTTTTCAAAATTACAAAATAAATACTGCTACTGTAAAATAATAAAAGATTTTGAAATCTATTTAGAATATTTTTTCCCTTGAAACAAAATACAGTTGTCACAAAAATTTAATTTTCTTTTTTTATGACTTTTCTCTGATTTCCAAACTTTTTCCTGACTGATTTTGACTTTTTCCCTGACCCTGAAGAATATTTTGATTCACTCGAACAATTATTAGTAACTTTAAAAAATGTTCTATTACATTTATTTACGAATTTCTTTAATTGGAAAATTATTCGAAAACATCAATAACATTTTTTTAAAATAAATATTTGATCATTATTATTTTTCAATTATTTCTAAAAATTCACGCTATAATGATTTTAATATTCAATTTCGATTTTACATTTTAAGTGAAATTCATTTTTTAAACAATTTTTATTAGAAAATTTTTCGAGAACTTAATTATTTAACAACTAAAATAAATAATTTATTAAATAATCCAATATTTCTTAAAATTGAATTTTTATAAAGAATTTTATCAAAATTTTTATAAATAATTGAATTCTTTCGGCGAATTTTAAAAAAAATTTTAAGAATAAATGCAATTTTCTATCATTTTATTTAAAATTGTATAAAAAATAATTGAAATTCCGCGATAACTTTTGTTATATTTATGAAAATAATTGAATTTTTGCAACGAATTTTATTAAAAAACTTTTTTAAAAATTGAATTCCTCAGAAGAATGTTATTTCTGAAAATAATTGAATTCCGAAGAAAATATTATTTATTTATGAAAATAATTATTTTCTTGTGAAGAATTTTATTCAAATTTTTTTTTAAATATTTAAATTGCTCAGAATTATTTAAAACTTTTTGAAAATAATTAAATTCCATCGAGAAATTTCATTAAAAAATTGAAAATAATTGAAATCTAACGAAGAACTTTATTACATTTTTTTTAAATAACTGAATTCCTGTGAAAAATTTTATTTTTGAAAAGAATTGAATTCTTGGGAGGAATTTTATTAAAATTTCTTAAATAATTGAATTGCTTCGAAAATTTTTATATTTTACAAAAATAATTGAATTTTTTTAAAGATTTTTACAAACATTCTTGACAATAATTGTATTCCTAGGAAGTATGTTATATTTTACGAAAATAATTGTATTCTATGATGAATTTTATCATAATTTTTCAAATATATAAAGCATTTTATCAAAATTTTTTAAAATAATTGAATTCTCGAGAAAATTGTTATTATTTATGAAAATAATTGATTTCTTGAGAAGAATTTTATTCAAATTCTTTTAAATAATTGAATTCCGGTAAAAAAATTAATTGTGTCAATAATTCAATTTTTAAGAAGATTTGTACTGAAAATAATTGAATTATATAGGAAATTTTAAATAAAACTGCAATTTTATTAACTAAATCTTGTAAAAAAAGAATTTTGTAAAAATTTTTCTAAATAATAGAATTTTTAAAAGAATTTTATTTCAATTTTATTTAAATTTTTCGAAATAATTGAATTTCTTAGAACTATTTTTTTTTAATTCTCCAAATATATTTGAATTCTTTCCAGAAATTCTACTAGAAAATTAAAAATAATTGAATTGGTTCGAAAAAATTTATAAAAAATTGGTAAGTTATTGAATTTCTGTGAAATTTTTATTAGAATTTGGTTTAAATAATTGAATACTTTTGGAAAATTTTATTAAAATAGTAGATATTAAAAATAATGGAAATGAGGAAAAATTTTTGAAAATAATTGAATTTCGGAGAAGAATTTCATTATTTATAAAAATAATTGAAATTTCGACAAGAATTTAAAAAAATGTTTAAACATTAATTAATAATTGAATTAAGTTGATTAATAAAAAAATTATTGTCAGAAATAGAAAAATTTGAAGGTTTTTGTATTAGAATTCTTGTCAATTTCATAGTTTATAATGCAAACAATAAAGACTCCAAAATTCAGAATTTTCTTATAAATTCTAAAAATTAAATTTTTTCCAGTACTTTTAATAAAAATCCCTGAATTCCCTGATTTCCCTGATCTGTGACAACCCTGAACCAAGATAATTTATTTAGATTTCTTTTTACTTCAATATCGTCACTTATTAAATTGTGAAATTATAAAAAATTAAAAACTGATTTTATCATTTAGAAGAGAGAAATTTTTTATTTAATTAAAAATTTAATTTACTTTTAAAGAAATCAATTTGCAAAAGAAGAAATTATTTTTACTTTATATGAAAAAGAAGAAAAGGGCGCGCCCTTAAGGAAGTTAAAGTTAAAAATTAATTGTCAACGGGAAGAAAGTGAATTATTTTTGATAATTTGGTGAAAAGAGACTTTCCTTTGAAATAATACTTTGTCAAATGTCGGAATGGAAGTTTTTCTTTTTCTTTTTGTGATTACGAACATGTTGGCAACAAAGGCCAGAAGGGTTAATTAGAGTATATAGAGTTTACGAGTAACCGCCTGTGTTCATGTGGTAATCTCAGTAACCTACTTGCGACAACACGCAAACTTCCCGACGATCGTTCCAAACTCATAAGGACTGCAAAACTCGATTAAAACATTCCTCCGACCCGTGAAAGATAGCATTCTGTCACCTATGGAGAAAAACAAAAATACATCAATATCGATCTCTCCAACTGTATCGAAATTTTATTCAAAATATTTCTTCTTCTCTTCAATTATTCCTTAAAATTAAATTTTCATTTCGTTTTACTTTTGTCTGTCTCTGAAATTTTCCACGTGCAAATGAATTATTTACTTTTTTATATTCAAATTTTTTTACAACAATTTTTGATCAAGTGACAAAAAATTTTCAATTATTTAATTTTTGCACTTATTAATTATTATTTTTTTTGGCTTTCCGAAACTTTTGGAAAATATTTATATCGAAAATTTTCATTCCTCTGAATGTTAAAAACTTATGAATCACTAATAACTTCTATTAATTATTTGCTATTCTTTCTTTTAATCAAATCAGTTTTATTTTTATAATTTTTTTATTAATAATTGAAATTCAAATTAAAAATTCAAAAAATCATGTAAATTCAATAATTTTAAATCTTCCTATTTTTAAAAAATTTCAATTTAAAACCAATATTTTTACTGATGAATTTTGATCACTAAAATTTATTTTTCTGAAATGTGTGAAATTTTTAAAAATTTTCTAAAAGTATTTAATTATTTCTAAATTGAATTTTAGTTTTTTTTTTATTTTATTATTTATTATTTGATTATTTATCTAAATTTCTAAATTAAGTTTTTAAATTGCGTTATTAAAAATAAAAATTTTTGAAAAAGGAATTTTAGAAATTTACCTTCAGGAAAAAAGTTTTAGAAAAAAATGAGAAAATGTGTTTTAGAAAAATTGTACCTCAATCATTTTTACTTTTTCCTACCAAACGAAAGATGTTAAAATTCTGTTTCTTTAAGGAAGTTGAAAAATCAATTTACAACTTTACTTACTACTAAGTGCATGTTGAACTCTAACTTTAAGAAGATAAACTTTTTTAACTTATAAATGTTCTTTAATCAACTATTCAACTTTGTTATTTCTCAATTCAGTAAGAAAAATATTTTGAAATTTTATTTCAACAAGAAATAAATTCGACTCAAGAGATCGAACTTCCGTTTTTATGATAAAGAGTAAAAAAAATTTCATTCACTTATAAAAATAAAATTATAAATAAAAAAACTTTATTTATGACGAACTGAAAAAAACACTTTTTTATAACCAAATAATAGAAGAAAATTTTCTTTCTTCCACAGTTAAAGTAAAAAAGTTCTGTAACTTTTTTAATACAATAAGTAGGATAAAATGAGCTGCCTCAAATAAAAAAAAAAAAAAAATAGTTGATGGATAAAACTTATCAAGATATACCACCGGTTGGAAAGATGAATAACGATCTTTATGCAGTTTCTACAAAATGTCCTTTTTATAATTCATATCCATTAAATGAGAAACTGTTAAAAGCTTCAGAGAAAGATTAAATTTTTCATTTCTTATAAATTTTGTCACAAAAAAAAATAAAAGAAAAAAGACAAAAAATATTCATGCGAGAAAGAATTCAATTTTTTTTCAATTAATTTCCTTTGAAACACTTTATTATTAAGTTTGCTGTGCAAATTTCTTTTTTCGTTTGTACAAAAAAACAATCGCGCACAAATCTTGACACAGTTTTCACAGAAGGATTTTTTCACTTCTGTCCAAGAATCAATTATACAATTTCTTCATAAATTTTCTTTTCAAGTGTCGAGAAAAAAAAAATTTCTTTTTTCAGGGCGAAAAATTAATTTTTTCTGTATATGATTTGGCAGCAAAATAACTTGTCACTACTTGTCGAGTTTTGAATGAAAAAAAAAAAAATAATGCGATATACTAATTAATTTTAAAGGAACAAAAATAAACTCTTGTGCGAAATT